TGGCTGGGTGACTTTAGGCCAATCACCAGGAGACTGGGAGTTCTAGTCCCGCCTTAGCCATGAAAGCTGGCTAGGTGACTTTAGGCCAATCGCCAGGAGACTGGGAGTTCTAGTCCCGCCTTAGCCGTGAAAGCTGGCTAGGTGACTTTAGGCCAATCGCCAGGAGACTGGGAGTTCTAGTCCCACTTTAGCCATGAAAGCTGGCTGGGTGACTTTAGGCCAATCACCAGGAGACTGGGAGTTCTAGTCCCGCCTTAGCCATGAAAGCTGGCTGGGTGACTTTAGGCCAATCACCAGGAGACTGGGAGTTCTAGTCCCGCCTTAGCCATGAAAGCTGGCTGGGTGACTTTAGGCCAATCACCAGGAGCCTGGGAGTCCTGTCTTAGGCATGACAGCCAGTTGGTTGACTTTGGGCCAATCACCAGGAGACTGGGAGTTCTAGCCCCGTGTTAGCCATGAAAGCAGGGTGGGTGACTTTGGGCCAATCCCTCGCCTTCAGCCCAGCCCACCTCAAAGGGTTGTCGTGGGAAAATAGGAGGAAGAAGGAGCATTATGTGTGTTTTTATAAATTATTATGTGTAACAATAATAAAGATGGGATAAAAATAAATAAAAGTTTCGGAGCTGTGGCATCGGCCGGCTTCTGCGCTCCTATGGGGGGGGGAGACAGGTGGGTGGGGGGGCTTAGCCATGGTAATACACAGAAACCCGAAGAAAGAGGCAGTTTAGCTCCCTCAGCAGAAGAATCCTTTCCAAATGAGGAGCATCTTCCCCAGCTGAGGAATGTTACTGCATTTCTTCTATTTATTGTATTAAATGTTAATAAAATTCATTAGCTGGGAAATGTGATTTTTCTTCTTCCTGTCCACTAGGGGTCTCCAAACTTGGTCACTTTAATACTTCAATTACTGACTAGGGAATTCTGGGAGTTGAAGTTCACACATCTTAAAGGGGCCTTGTTGGGAGACCCTGGCCGTAGACTCACAGAGGGTCCCCCTCCAATGTCTACGGTTCAACGCCCTCTCTGTGGCCAAAGCCAGGGGGTCAGATCTTGAGGGCAGCTGAGCTCCCAGTGGCTGTATGTGTCCATGGAGAGGGTCCAGATTCCCCTAAGGCAGGGGTCCAAATCCTGGCCTACTTTAAGACTTGCGGATTTCAACTCCCAGAATTCTCCAACCAGGCTGGGGGATTCTGGGAGTTGAAGTCCTGGGGTCTTAAAGTGACCACAGTTGCAAAACCCTAAGCTGCTTAAACTTGGAGGTGGGCTAGGTGACCTCAAAGGCCTCTAGCGGGCCATGTGGGGGGGGGGGTCTTTGGCCTGCACTTTTTCTAGATGTCCTGCAGTCTGGATCAGGGCTGAGTTCGGCAGTTTTGGTGGGTCCTCGGTTGCATCAGGCTGCCCATCTAGGTAGGGGGCTCAGCTGCTCACCTGGGCAGGGGCAAGTGGGGGTGGGTGCAGCCCACCAGGTGCCCAGATCCATGGGGAGATGCCCCCTAGGGCGGATTCTCTTCCCCCCAGGTGATTGGAGCTCTTCAGGGCTTGCAGTGGCTCAGCCTTGGGCACTGGACCCCACTTCCTCCTCCCTCCGGCTGCCCATTCTTGGGGAGGGGGCTGAAAAAATAACCCCCCCCCCCAATAGCTCTGCCCCAAAGGAAGCCTCTGCTTGCTCCAGTGCTGACCCTCTCAGCCAGCCCTTCCTGGGGCCACTGGCTGGGCATTCTGCTGGCAGGCGGAGGGGCTGAGTGGAGAGAGGGACCCAGCAGCCCCTGGGGTGGGTGGTCCCTGGGGGGCATCTGAAGCCTTGCTGGGGGGGGGAGATTGGGGGGAGGAGCCTTTAGGGCATCCCGCCTCCACCTGGAGGACTCCCTGCTAGGGGGCAGAGTGGCTTCCTCCCTTCCTTCCCTTCGTCCATCCTTCCTTCCTCCATTCCTCCCTCTCTCTCTCTTCCTCCTTCTCTCCCTTCCTTCCTCCCACCCTCCCTTCATCCCTGCCTCCCTTCCTTTCTTCCTCCTCTTCCCGCCCTCCCTCTCTCTCCTCCCTCCATTTCCCCTTCCTTCCCCCCTTCCTCCCTCTGTCCCTTCTCTCCCTCCCTCCGTTGCATCCCCCCTCTTCCCCTCCACCTCCCTCCCTCCCCCATTCCGTCCATCCCTCCCTCCCTCCCTTCCTTCCTCTCTTTCTCCCTCCGTCCCCAACTTAGTTGGAGAACCTGCCCTGCCAGGTGTGTGAGGTCTGGGGGGATCTCCCCCTCCTCCTCCTCCTCCTCCTCCTCCTC